TCAACCTCCCATAATCAAGATATTTAAATAAATTTAATTACCTCAAATTAAGGCCAATAAATATAATTAATTTACTTTAATTAAAATTAATTAATTTTATTAATCACACATTTAAACTAATTATCCTAATCAATTAATCATTTTATTTATTTATTTTTCTTTTCTTTTTAGTTTTGTTTTTAGTTTAGTTATGTATTTTTTTTTAAACACACTAGACCAAAATAGATCAAAACTTAGACAACTGAAATCTGGATGGAAACAAAGGGAAATTTCGGTTCCTATTCTACCATTCATCAACACAGACAAAAAGAAAACAAATAAACATTCATCCCAACTCAAATCCATGACATTCAATCAGAACATGTTTGATTTTTTTTCATTCACAATATCATCATCAAATACAGTCCTAATACACTGAAATCTAAGAAAAATTGCAACAATCCAGACAAAAATTTTTCTGGGAGAAGACAGATCCTGATCGGAAGGAGGGATCCCACCCACGGGATCAAGCTTCATTCGTCTGTTTAGGAAGTTACCTAAGCAAACCCAGAAAATGTTTCCTTCTCCTTAAGCTGCTGTTGCACTCTGCCAGATCATCACTCTCGAACCAGCCCTTCAACACCAACGACGGAGGCAGTGCTCTCGACAACCAACCTCCCCAAAGAAAACCAGCTCTCCCTTCTTCGAAATCTCCCTCTAGTGCTCTCAAGAACCAGACAGAGACTCCCCAAATCAACTCCGAAAATCAACCATAGACCCAGACCTCTCAAATCCAAACTCCAAAATCAACTATGCTTTTGCTTTATATATACACCCAACTGATAAAATAAAAATAAAAATGAACTAAAAAAAAAAAACCTTGCTCTGTCAATCACCAATGATGCTAATGTCGTCTGGTATTGTTGTTTTTTCTGTATGGCTGTAGCGTGCAGGAGGCAGAGGCGCGGGACAACAAGCAGGGGCGTGGAGGGGTTGCGCGATTGGGGCACAGGCGGGGTAATGAGTGCAGGATCGATTGGCGATTGGTTCGGGGGGGAGGCGGGGTGATGAGTGCAGATCTGGGCTCGGGGAGAGGAGGGGTGATGAGTGCAGGTCTGGGCTTGGGCAGAGGAAGGTGCAGGCGCGCAGGGGCTAGGGCGTGTAGGTGTGCAAAAGGGGGGGTGTAGTCATGCATGATTGCCGGTGATGGCTGACGGGGGGCGCCGGCTGGTTTGGGGAGGAAGCTGTTGGCTGCTGGAGGAAGATTCGAGAGATGAGACAGAAAAGGCCGAAAGTGAGGGTGAGGAAGAAGACTTTGGCATCTTTGGCTCTTTTTTTTTTTTTTTTTGGGTTTGGGTTTTGGTTTTGGATTTGGGATTTTGGGCTTGGGTAGTTGGTAGGCTTTGGGTTTTTGGGTAATTGGATTTGAGTTTGGGTTTTGGAGTGGGCTTTGGGTTTTTTGAGTTTTTGGTTTTTGTCTTCAATGCATTTTACCCTTCAACTTTTCATCTCTTCAATTAAGTCCCTTGTTTTAATTTCTTTCATCTCCCTTTTCCAATTTTCTTCTCAAAAATCCCCCTTTTTGCCCTAGAACCTAACAAGAAAAACAAAAACAAAACATATTAGTTAAAATAAAAATAAAAATAAAAATAAAATTCTACTAAAATTTGAGTTATGACATTAACTCCTGACAATATCCCACTAATAGCTTTTAGTGCTCCTATAGGACACTATGGGTGGTTAGTAATGCCTTTTGGATTAAAAAATGCACCTCAAATATTTCAAATAAGAATGGATAATATATTTTCCTCCATAAGAAAATTTTGCATAGTTTATGTAGATGACATACTAATCTTCTCTGATAATGAAAAAGAACATTTATGTCATCTTAAGAAATTTGCATATTTATGCAAGAAACATCGAATATTACTTTTTGAAAAAATAAAAAAAGCCAGAGATAGGAAAAACCAAAATTAAATTCCTTGGATTAACAATAGATTTCATAAGAATAGAATAACAACCTCACATTAGCGAAAAGATTTTGTTATTTCCAGATAAATTAGAATCTAAAGAACAAATTCAAAGGTTTTTAGATATATTAAATTATGCAAAGCAATTTATTCAAAACCTAGCTCAACTTAGACATATTTTGCAAAAGTTGCTTAGGAAAAAGGAAAATCAGGAAAAAGGAAAATCAACAATGGGAAATTTATCACACTAATCATGTGAAAAGAATAAAGGACTATTGCAAAAACCTTCTTAGGTTACAATTGCCTAAAGAAGATGAAGCATTAATTTTAGAATGTGATGCCTCAGATTTTTATTGGGAAGCAACTTTGAAAAACAAATTTCAAGAAAAAGTTTGCAAATCTGCTAGTGGTACATTTAAAGATGTAGAAACTAGATATCGTTCAAATAATAAAAAGTTATTGGCCACTAAAAATAGAATAAAAAAGTTTAGTTTCTTCTTATTACCAAAACATTTTAAGGTCAGAACTGACAATACTCAAGGGATCTATTTTTGATAAATTACCTTTAACACCATAATATAAAAGATTAAATAGATGGCAAACATTTTTTTGCTAAATATAATTTTGAAATTGAACATGTCGAAGGGACTAATAACTGTCTTGTAGATTTCTTGAGCAGAGAAGGAGGTAATGGATGAAATCCTAAAGGCAGAATACCCAAATCCACCCCTAGAGTACAGTAGTAGGGACGGATCCACCCCCGAACAAAAAACAGGGACAAATCCACCCACAAAGTTTTTTACTTGGACAAATCACCCCAAATTTAACGTGTGATGTCATCTGACATCAGCAATCTGTTAATTTGATATCATTTGACGTCAGCATTCCATTAATTCGTTAACGAATTACTGATGTTAGATGATGTCACACGTTAAATTTGAGGTGATTTATCCCAGTTGAAAACTTTGTGGGTGGATTTGTCCCTGTTTTTTGTTTGGGGGTGGATCCATCCCTGCTACTATACTTTGGGGGTAGATTTGGGTATTTTGCCAATCTTGAAACTCCAAAATAAAGGAAAAGACCTTATTCTCAAAAGTCAAGAGATATTCACTGAAGGCAATAGCCAAATAAGAGAAGGCCAAGAAAAAATGATCGAAGATCAAGAGATAATTGATGAAGGCCAAGAAAAAATTATTAAAGGCCATCAATTATTAAATAAGGGACAAGATGCCCTTGAAGAAGTCAAAGAGCTGATAGAAAAATTAATGAATTTCGGAGTAATTATTACTGTTGGAATCAGCTATAAAGGATCTAGCTAAATGGCAAAGAAAAGCTCCCAACAAGAGCTAAAAGAATAATTTGAACAAGGTGATCCTTCAGTAGGGTTACTTGGAGAAAGTTCAGGGAAATTTGACTATTATGTTAAATACTCTCCCCCAAAAACATCAGCATCTTAAGCTAAAAACTTGGCCATTTAAAATGTCGAAAGCCATGACTTTCGACCTAATTACTCAGGAAAGAAAGAGAAGAAAGTTACAATAATAAATACTTTGTCAAAAATGACAGTAAGTGAAGAACATATGCAGGATTACCACAGAGTCTCTAAAATGGCATATTCAATGGGCAAAACCCTCAAATCCACCCTTAAAAAATATCGGTAGGGATACATCCGCCCCTCAAAAAAAAGCAGGGACAAATTGCCCCTCTAAATCATAGATTAATACAAATCACCCCTTTTTCAACGAAAAACGTCAAAATTTTGTTTGCCACATCAGCATTTTTTAACAGAAAACGTTGAAAAATGAGTTATTTGTATTGATTTATGATTTAAAGGGGTAATTTATCCTTGCTTTTTTTTTAGAGGTGGATGTGTCCCTACCAATATTTTTTCAAGGGGGATTTAAGGGTTTTGCCTATTCAATGAGGTCTACCAAGAATTGCCATCCTATACATGAAGGAATTTATCCCAAAATTAATTTCATGCAGGGTGCAAATCTAAAAGCTATAAAAGAATTATTCGATTATGGTTTTGTAAAGTGTATTTATCTCTCAAAGAATAATGAAGAGATTTCAGAAATTCCAGAAGTTATACTCCAAGGAGTGAAGGAGTTCAAGACTGGCACCAAAGCTCAAGGGGTAGCATTTGTAAAAGTCTACTTTGCAGCGTCAGAATGGGAGAAACCTCAATATTTCCCCAGTCATCATATGGTTCAAATTGGAATTCAGTCCAAAAAAATCAAAGTAGAAGCGAATGAAGATCAAATTTTCCAAGACTTCGAAGAGTCTTTTTGTGGGATTGAGTTCATCCAAGAGAGATGAGCTCTAAGATTCAAGGTCTTACTTCAGACCTTCGACAGAATGATAGAAATGAGGAAGATATGGACATACGACTTCTCCAAAGAAGTCTCAATGGTATCCATTGGAGCAAGATTAATGACACGCATTAGCCTGTTCAAAATAAACCAAAAAAGAAAGGAAATCTTTGAAAATCTGGTTCCAGCCAGTAAAGCGGTCCACAATTGACTATGCAAGCTGTTAAAGCACAACAATCACTATGGTTTTTGCTACAAAAAAGAATATGACAAAGCAAAAGCTGAAGCCCCATGTGATGAAGAGACAACTCCCTTAGATAGTGAAGAGGACCTCATCATCCTCTATAGAATCTAATGGAAAAAGACGTAAGCTCTTACGTCACTAAAGAAAAAGAAGAATGTTTGCAAGATTCCTACAAGATTCCATGTAATTTGCTTTAACAAAAGCAAAAAGTGAGTCTGGATCACCAAACAATAATGTAAACTTTAATCGTCAGCAATGACGAAAGAAAAGATTCGAAGGAGTGCTATTAGAAGCCTCCTATAAGCTGTAATAGGTATTGTGCATTTGAACATCCAAATACCTTACCTGAAAGTCTTCTACCATGCATTTATAAACACCCTTCAAGAGGAAAGGGAACTTTCCCTTTCTTCTCTCAGAAATCAAATCATGTTTTAGAGTAATTCTTGTGTTTCTATCCTTCTTTATTTCCATCATACAATAAAATGAGGAGAATCCTAAAGAAATTGAGGTAGCAATGAAGTCACTTGTCCTGTCTAGATACCCATTATAACCTGAGTTTGGCAATAAGGGTTGGACGAAGGAAGCATTTGCTTGATTGAAGGCTAGTCCAAAAGATTTTCAGGTAAAATTCTAACTCATTTATTTTATCATGCGGAAGCAAGGTGGGCATAGAAACAACTTTATTATTCTTTAACATTAGATTATTTTTGAGATGAGAAATGATGGGGAAATAGTACCTAACCTCTTATATTTTGAATAAAAAAATCCATTTTATATTAAACCATTATAATTTAAGATGCTTGATTTTATTCAAGAAATTGTCATAGATTAGATAGTTTATGAGTAGCAATGCGAATATTATAGAAATAAAATAGTGAAAATTTTAGAAAAAAGAAGTAATATTGAAGATGATTATCATATATCTCAGAATCTTATAAAGTTGAAGCAAACAGTTGTAGATTTAAATGAAGATATAAAAAGATTAAAAAAGGCCACGCAAAGATTATCTTTGCTAGCAGTCTAATAGATCTAATTCCGCGTTTACTGAGCTTAACATACCAGCTATTCATTAGTCAGTAGTAGTTTGAGTTAAGTTCTAAATCGGTCAAGAAATCTGGCATTAGAGCCAAGAAACAATAATTTTATGTATAAAAACTGTTTCTACAACAAATATAAATTTGAGGACTAAAAGATCAAAACAAATATAGTTAGAGGACTAATTAATTCTCTTATAGAATAGGAAGATTTTCGTTAAAAATAACAGATTAGACGAAATTGAAATGAATTTGAAAGATAGTAGACAGGATTGGAAAAAGGAAAAATACCTAAATCCACCCCCAAAGTATAGTGATAGGAACAGATCTATCCTCGAACAAAAAATGGAACAAATCCACCCACAAAGTTTTTGACTTGGATAAATCACCACAAATTTAACGCGTGACATTATTTAACATTTGCAATTCGTTAATTTGTTAATGGATTGCTGATGTCAAATAATGTCAAATTAACAGATTGTTGATGTCAGATGACGCCACAAGTTAAATTTGGAGTGATTTGTCTAAATTGAAAATTTCGTGAGTGGATTTGTCCCTGTTTTTTTTATTGGAGATAGATCTGTCCCAGCCACTATACTTTGCAAGTGGATTTAGGTATTTTGCCTTGGAAAAATCTAAAGATAATAGACGAAACTGGAAAAAAAAAATGAAAGTTAGTTGATGATTTGTTAAATTAAGCCAATTTGGAACTCGGGTGGGTGTCTGACAAACAGTATAATTAACCTTTCACAGCTAGCAGTGGAGGGTTACATAAGGAGGATTATATTTCTTGCTTCTGTTAGCAGTCACTTAAAATTTGGCATAGTTTCGTAGTTGTCTGCAACTACAAGTTATTATGTAGCAAATTTTGGAACAAGGTCATGTCCTCTAGTGTTATAGGTATCGATCCCTTTTTTGACCATGCCTATGCTGTGGGAAATCATTTTTTGATTTCTCTTATTTTATTGAGGGCATGACAGTTCTCAATGTATCATTGAAATGGGAACATCACGGTCTGTTCATGATTAAGGAAATAAAAAGTACTCAACATGAAAAGTAGCATATTAAGAAAATATCTAGCATTAAGCAAAATACAAATACAAGCGCGCGATAACTTTCCTTTTGATGATCAAAGTTCTTATACAAGAAAACATCCATAATGCTGACCCAAAAAGAAAATTAACATGCATTAATCTTAATAAGCCGAAACATTTAAACTAGCCCCTTAAGATTGGAGATTAAGATTGAAAAACTTAGGCAAACACACGATAAGGAAGAGCACAGTAGCCATAATAATAGGTGCATATGGTTGAAGCTGAGTGGAATTTAGAATTGGAAATGGAGCTAGGTACATCATTGACACCATGTAGCAGAGAATGAATAACATGACTGGTAAGGTAAGCCGCAGGTTTATTGTGTTATCAGGAAGTAGGAGAAACACTACGGCTGTTGTAATCAAGAAAGTTGCAGTGTTTATAACATAGAAGTATATAAAACTAGGTGTGGACATGACTGAGAGCCCGACCTTACTTTCAGTGGCATTTGTGGCATCGGAAGGTTGCTCGCTTTCAGGAAAGCAGTCATAACGTAAGGAAGTGGAACGTCCACGTAGCGTGGAATGTCCATGTGGATTGCAACGTACAGTTGAGTTAGACAGGTTTGGGAAGACAGGTCCACTTGAGAGACTGAAATCTAAGCCATTGCGCATTGGGCCACCAGAATCGTTGTCACCTAAGTTACCCTGCCAAACACCTCCAGGTGGAGTAAGACATGTTTGGTAGGTAGCTGTTAGGATCAGTACAGCTACTACCAGCATAGCATTCCTCATGTCACTAGATATCATGTTATTCTGGCGCGTCATTGTTCTTCGTAATTTCTGTAACCAAGACATTTTTTTTTTCAATGACTCTGCTAATTTCTGACGCGCTTGCTCAGGAAAGCTTTTAGCTTCTAGACATCCAGCTTGACGAAGAATGTCTACAGTTTCGCTGTTGTTAACTTGGCCGGATAACATATCCAAAGCTGATTGGCCGTTCAAATTGACTTTGTTCTTGGAGATCATCTTACATTCTAATAATGATCGTACCATCTGCTCAGCATATATCGAAAAACAAACAAATTGTAATCAATGAAATGTTGCCACTAATCAAATCATTTTGTTTTTTTTCCTTTGATACGCTAAGCTTTGCTAAGTTAATGAAACCAGGCTAACAAAAAAAAAAAAAAAAAAAAAAAAA